CGGCTCCCTGCTCAGCGGAGAGCCTGCTTCTCCCTCTCCCTCTGCCTGCCACTCTGCCTACTTGTGCTCTCTTTATCTCTCTGTCAAATAAATAAATAACATCTTAAAAAAAATTCTTTTGTCTTTTCATTTTTTTAATTTTTATTTTAAAAAGATTTTATTTATTTGACGGAGAGAGAGATAGTGAGAGTTGGAATACAACCAGGGGGAGTTGGAGAGAAAGAAGCAGGCTTCCCGCCGATCAGGGAGCCCGATGAGGGGCTCGATCCCAGGACCCTGGGATCACGACCCAAGCCGAGGGCAGACGTTTAACGACTGAGCCACCCAGGCACCCTCCTCAGTTATTTTAAAGTATAACATCAGGATTGGAAAATGCTATTTGAGGAATTTGTTGTTTGCAGTGATACTTTGATTTATGTGAATTTATAGACTTGCACATGTTTTATCTCATCTGATGTTCTCAGCAGCCCTATGCAAATATTGTTAGTCCCTAATTTAGAAGTGAGGAAAGTAAGACTGATGTAGGATCACATGCTATTAAGGGAGAGAACTTAGACTCACTCCCCTTACCCCCTGTTCATTCTAATATTTACTGTACTATATCTCATGATGAAAGAAGGATTTGGATGGGCACTGGGGAGGCTCAGTCGGTTAAGCATCTGCCTTCGGCCCAGGTCATGATCCCAGGATTCTGGGATCGAGCCCCATGTTGGGCTCCCTGCTCATCGGGGAGCTTGCTTCTCTCTCTTCTCCCCGTTTGTGCTCTCTCTTGCTATCTCTGTCTCTCTCAAATAAATAAAATCTTAAAAAAAAAAAGGATTTGGAAATTCTAATTCCTAGTCTTTTGTACTTTATATTTCCTAATTTACTTATAATTAAGCTGTTGTCTTTTTTTGTGTGTGTGATAAAAGCCACATAACATAAAATTTACCTTAACTGTTTTAAGTGTATAGTTCAGTAGTGTTAAATATTCACATGGTTGTGAACAGATTACCAGAACTTTTCATTTTACAAATCTGAAACTATACTCATTAAACAACGCCCCTTTTCTCCCTCACTACATTCCCTGGTAACTGCATTCTATTTTGTTTCTATGAATTTGATTACTCTAGATACCTCATATAAGTAGAATCATACAGTGTCTTTTTTTGTGACTGGCTTACTTCACTTAGCATAATGTCCTCAAGGTTCATCCATATAGAATATGACAGGATTTCTTTCATTTTAAAGGCTAAAGAGGGGCGCCTGGATGGCTCAGTTGGTTAAGCATCAGACTCTTGATTTAGGCTCGGGTTGTAATCTCAGGGTTGAGAGATTGAGCCCTGCTTCGGCTCTGTGCTGGGCGTGGAGACTGCTTAAGAGTCTCTCTCTGCCCCTCCCCTCTTGCTTGCTTGGGCGCTCTCTCTCACTCTTTTTCCCTCTCTAAAAAAAACACCCTAAAGGCTGAATAATATTTCATTGTATATACTACATTTTGTTTATTCATCTGTTAGTGGACATTTGAGTTGCTTGCTCCTTTTGGCTGTTGTGGATTGTGCTGCTGTGAATGTGGGCATGCATGTAGCTCTTTTGAGTCCCTGCTTTTAGTTAACTTGGGTATATACCAAGTGGGATTCTTTGGTCATATATAGTAGTTCTGTTTTTAATTTTACCACGAACCTCCATATTGTTTTCTGTAGCAGTTGCATCATTTTACAATCCTACCAACAGTGTACAAGGATTCCAGTTTTTCATCCTTGCCAAGACTTGTTATTTTCTGGGGTTTTTTTTAATAGTAGCTACCATAATGGTTGTGATGAGATACCTCATTGTGATTTTGATTTGTGTTTTTCTGATGATTAGTGATGTTGAGTATCTGTTCATATGCTTGTTGGCCATTTGTATATCATCTTTGGAGAGATTCTATTGAAGTCCTTTACCCATTTTTAAATCAGGTTACTTTTTTGTTTCTGAGTTGTAGTTCTTTATATATCCTGGATATTAACCCATAATTGGATATAAGATTTACAGATATTTCCTCCTATCCTTATGTTGTCTTTTCACTCTGTTGATTGTGTTCTCTGATGCACAAATGTTTTAAACTTTGGGATAGCCCATTTGTCTGTTTTTACTTTTGTTCCCTTTGTTTTTGGTGTCATTTCCAGGAAATCATTGCCAACTCCAGTATCATGAAGATTTCCTGTATGTTTTCTTCTAGAAGTTTTATATTTTTAGGTTTTACATTCAGGCTTTTAATTCATTTTGAGTTAATTTTTGTATGTGGTATAAGGTAAAGCTCCAACTTCGTTCTTTTGCGTGTGAATATCCAGTTTTCCAGCACCTTTTGTTAAACTGACTGCCCTTTCTTTGTTGAATGATCTTGGTACCCTTGTTGAAAATCATTTAATTATATATGCAAAAGTTTATTTCTGGGCTCTTTGTTCTGTTCTGTTGGTTTGGTTGTCTTTATGCTAAAACCACAATTGTCTCCTTCCTTTTGATATTTTTTTGCCCCTTTGCTGTTTTATGTTGATTGATTGTTGTCAAGAATAAAGTGGGACTAGTTAACTGCCACATTATGAAGAATATGTTGGAATAACTTATTAAAAAAATAACTTTAGTGTATTCTTTTGGCTCTGTGATTTTTGGAGTAATCAGAAAAATGATCTCCCTAAGGGTAAGGATGATGTTCTTAATTCTTTTTACAGCATTTTAATTGCAGGGTGTGGAGTAATTGATAATCTCTGAAGATGCAGGGGTGTGGTAAATTTGCTGATTGCAGAAGAAACCATTATGTCCCACTTAAATATGCAATTAGAATAGGGCTGGTGGTAATGACTCAGAATGTATCAACCAACATTTTGTTTGTTTGACAGTGGCTTTGAAATCAAAAGACAGAAACCAATGACAAATTTGCATATGGAAAATTAATCTTCAAATGTGTCTTTTCTTTAACGGAAGGGGAAAAAGAGAAAAAAATAAATTGAGAGCTTCTTTGCCTTTTTCTAGGGCCTCAAATGGCTCAAAACGGGAAAAGCTAATGGGAAGGAAACATTTTTTTCTGATAGTCTAATACTTTGGATTCTTTTTTACTTTGTACCAACTAGGTTTGCTTCTTGTATTATCTCTTATCAGATGCCTCTGTAGATTTACTTCTATCATTTCCTCTCAAATTCCTCTGGCTATACCCTGCCTTCTCTGCTGCTCACCCTTCCTCTTCCTCAATGTAAAACCTGTTCATTCTGGTTGGTTTCTCTCTCTTCTTCGAATCAATTCTAATTTCTACTTGTTTGTTGTCTACTGTCAAGAAGGATTTTTCTATCAAGTCAAGTGGGCTTTTTTCTATTCTGGAATAATAATTCTTTTTCTATTCTAAAACTTAGAGTTTTTCAAAGTTAAGACCCAGTTTTGTATTTCATGAAGCTCTTCTAGATGGCTATAATTTTCAGTTGATTTCTCTAAACTTTGACTTTGTTTCATTTAAAATTCTCTCTCTGTTTTGTCTGTTTGATCTCTCTCCAATGAATTAATAAGTCCTAGAGTAATGACTTTATCTTGTATTTAAATATCACCAGGAGTGTAACATAGGACTAGACATACATTAGGCATTAACTTTTTGTCTCCACTCAAACTACCCCCTTCCCTTACTTTTCTCTTCTCTTCTCCCCCGCCACTTTTTTTTTTTAAGATTTATTTGAGAGAGTGCGTGCACATGCATGAGTAGGGGGAGAGGCAGGGGGGGGAGAGAGAATCCTCAAGCCAACTTCCCTGAGCACCGAGCCCCAGCAGGGCTTGATCCCAGGATCCTGAGATCATGACCTGAGCCAAAACCAAGAGTTGGATGCTCAACCGACTGAGCCACCCAGGAGTCCATCCTCGCTTCTTTTTTAACATTCCTTAGATTTATTTGGTTATACTTAATTCTTCCAGTGGCATTCAACCTCAGAAGGTCTCCTGACTTAACATGTTAAATTTCTCCTTTGTTGGGATAAAATTTGCTTCATACTGTATTTTGAAATAATGTTTTAAACATGTTTTAAAATTTGGGTTTCATATCTGCTTGACAATTTACAAGATACCCTCTATACACACAAAAAAACTAGTAAGAAAAACTCACAAAAAATGTTTTATAATGTATATTATAAATATCTTATCTCCTTAGTTTACAAAGATCTTGTATAAACCAATAAGAATAAAAATTAGTAATGTAATAAGGATGTGAAGGCATTTAAGAAAAAAATAGAAATCCAGCTTTCTCATAGTTAAAGAAATGCAAATCACAGTGAGGTACTGCTTTTTCTTTTTAATCAGATGAACAAAAATTAGGTTTTAATGATGTTTAGTGCTGATAGGAGGAGGTGGAGAAATGGCCATTTCCATGCATTGTTAGTGGGTTAATCAGTTAGGACTTCATTTGTCTGCAAGTAATAGAAAACCTGTCTATTGCTAATAGTTTAAACAAATAGGGACTTATTTTCGCACACAGTGTGAAGTTGGCATTGTGTTATTACTAGCTGATGATGTCAGGGCTGGCATTTCTTAATTTTCCTTGCCCATCCCTTATTGACTGCTTTAAGGACATAGGTTGTTTTAGATATGTTCACATTCAAGGTGATAAGAAAGTGGTAGAACCTACACTATTTGTAGACTGTCCCTTTTTCTCAGAAAAGCAAAATCTTTCCCAGAGCTCTGCAGCAGTTTCATGATTCCCTACATGGGGCTAGATATATTGCTACTCTGACCAAAAACAGTGTTTTACTAGGAAGATGGTAAGAGGGGATATTGGATAGGCAACTGAAAGTGTCTTGCTGCATGGCTAATGCAATTTTTCTAGAGATAAAACTTCAACATTTTCCCAGATTTAACATACATGTATTCTTTGATTAAGTGGTTCCATTGTTTAGAGATCAAGAATGAAATTAATATATTCCTTTAATAGCTAACTGGGGCTTTTAAAAGGTGGTTTTGATGATGCCAAATAAACATTTGGAAGATGTTCCTCTTTATTTGTGTTTCCACAGATCATTAACTGAAGACAAAATAAACAACTATGCAAAATTCTCACATGGATGAGTACAGAAATTCTAGTAATGGCAGCACAGGCAACAGTTCAGAGGTAGTGGTAGAACAGTCTGCTGATTTCAGTACTGAGATTATGAATGTTACGGAAATGGAACAGTCCCCTGATGGATCTCCTAATGTGAATGCAACTACAGAAGAAAATGAAATAACAAATGCTGTGGACCTTCCAGTGACAGAAACGGAAGCAAATTTCCCTCCAGAATATGAAAAGTTCTGGAAAACTGTAGAAAACAATCCTCAGGATTTTACAGGCTGGGTATATTTGCTTCAGTATGTAGAACAGGAGGTTAGTAACTATTTTAAATGGAACTAGAAGGGACAGATTAAACAAGTAATATCAGATGAGGTTTACTGTTTTGTAATTAAAGTTGCCTCTTTTATAATTTTCAGATTAAGTTGAATAACATTAGATATGTACATTTTTTAGCTTTAAAAGTAACTTTTATAACATTTGTATGTATTTGTCAATATTAGTACAAAGTCTAATATTTGTAGTAATTGGTGTGTGTGCGTACGTGTGTGTATAATCACTGAAATAAAAAGTTACCTTGCTATTTGACAGAATTACTTCCTTTTGTTTCAAAGGATAAGACTTATGTAATATGCAGGAAAAAGATCTGCTGTGTGTGTGGTTTTTAAGTCTGTCAGTTTATTTTATTTGAGATAATACATTTGGAAGAAATAATAACTATTTTTGTGACACAAACTTCCAGGATTTTTAAACACCTTGTTTTATTTTCATCAGAATCACTTGATGGCTGCCAGGAAAGCATTTGACAAATTTTTCATACACTATCCGTATTGCTATGGTTACTGGAAAAAGTATGCAGACCTTGAAAAGCGGCATGACAACATGAAACAATCAGATGAGGTGCGTACATTACTGAATAAAATTATCTCCATTAGGTACTGTAAGCCAAATAATAACGAAACAAAAACTTTTTTTTTTTTTTTTTGGCTGGCAGTACCTACGATTTATGGTCAAACAATTTTATAGGGTATTTTATTTGCATTTGTCACTCTTGTGGCATTTGTAGCTAATATTTTCTCTCTTTGTTGGCAGGTGCGTTAAACCTCTACAGTTTGTCAAGCTTTGCAGTGCAAGCCTCTGTATTACACTGCAGCTTAACAAGTAGGGCAGGGCTTTTCTCTCACTTACATTTATTTCTCATTTTCCAAACAATATAGTTGGTTTGCTAGTCACATTTGCTACGTCTTATTGCATTTTTGGTCAGACGCTGTCATTGATGCTCTAATGGGTCTGTGCCCTATGGTCTGTAACCCAAAGCCTGCCCACACAACCCGGTCAGAATGCAGGGACTGCTGCGCTTTGAAGATCAAGACTCTGCACGTGGGGATCAGAACATTGCCATGTTCTATCCAACCTCCACCCAAATGGTAATGGTAGATTATTTAAACAAAATTCCAGTAATTAGTATTTCTAAGGTTCACCGGATAACACAGTGTTGCCTCTCTGTTAAGAAATAATTAAATATTTGAAGTACAGTTTGTTGTTTTCTTCTTAGGTGTATCGTCGGGGGCTTCAGGCAATACCTCTTAGTGTTGACCTGTGGATACATTATATAAACTTCTTAAAGGAAACATTGGACCCTGGTGAATCTGAGACAAACAGTACAATAAGAGGGTATGCTAAACATTGATATTTTCATATGCCTTCAAAGGAGAAATAATTCAAGTGTTCTGATGATAATAGAACTACGCTAAACTGAATGTTTAACATACATTTCTTTTTCACTATTTAAAAAAATGAAACATGTAATAAACTTATGCATGATTATAAAAATTGCAGATAATAATGCCCTCATTTCACACCCCCGTTCCTTATGTTCCCAGTCCCATTGCCTTTGTGGTTTATGAATTGTGTATTCTTTCATATACATACGGATGTGCATACATGTGTGTGTATTGTACATATTTGGTTTTTTTTTTTAATGTAACAGTGTTTTGGAATCTCTCCCTATCATAATTTTTCAAGCATTGAAGAAGTATTTTGTGGTATCAAAGTACTGTATTTTATTTGCCCAAATCCTTATTTATAGGAAGTAATCAGTGGCGCAGGAAACATGTCTGTATTAGTCATTATTTATGGAGAGCATGCTAGAAATGGAACTTTTGTCAGAGAGAACACACAACTAACTTTTATCAAATGTTCTTCCAAAGTGGTATCAATTTTAAACTCCCACAGTATATGAGAGTAGTCATGTTTTCCCATAGCTGTGCCACATTCTCTTTAACCTCCAGTGATATCTCAGTATTTTAGGTTGCCTGTCTCTAGACTGCTCATCCCAGTTTGCCATCTTTTCCTGTACTTGTATAAGCCATTTGCTCATTGCCTGTTCATATCATTTGCTCATTTTACTTTTGGACTGTCCTTTTCTTATGATTATAGGAAATTTTAAATGTGTTTTTGGTTTTTATTTTTATCAAAGTATGTGCATATAGTTTAAAAAGTCAGTGTTAAACTGCTTACAACAAAAAGCAGTTCCTCCACCCTTCTTCAAGTATTTTAGCTGTTTCTTGCATTTTCCTATATGTTTATAATAGTAGCTCTTTCTCTCTCTTCATTACATTATGATTTTGTTACGGTAGATGAGATTTTTAGTTCACTTATACTCTTGTCTTCCCATATCTTTTCCAATAAGGATAGGTTTCAAAGCCTTTTATTTTTCCTGGAGTTAATTACCGCTTTTTATCCTTACCTCCTTTTTCCCACTTCCCTAGTTTTCTTTGAACATTTAAAAATTTCCTACCCCTTCCAACAGCCACTTTCGGTAGTTAGTACTCATAACTGACTTTCCATAGTGTACAAATGCTATGTACATTTTTTGGAAGCTAAAAAATGTATATATCTAGTGTTATTCTACTTACTCTGAAAATTGTGAAAGGGAATTATACTCTGAAATTTGTAAATTCCATTTTTTTTTTTAAAGATTTTATTTATTTATTTGAGAGAGAGAATGAGATAGAGAGCACGAGAGGGGAGAGGGTCAAGGGGAGAAGCAGACTCCCCGCCGAGCAGGGAGCCCAATGTGGGACTCGATCCCGGGACTCCAGGATCATGACCTGAGCCAAAGGCAGTTGCTTAACCAACTGAGCCACCCAGGCGCCCCTGTAAATTCCATTTTTTACCCTTCCTCTTGGGGGATATCCTTGGAACCTTCTCTTTCTGTAGTCTGGATTGGTTGCTCTACTCTGTTCTGTTTCTTCCATACAGCAGATATTTTGAGATTTCCTCATCATGATTCTAGGAGATATCTTTACCTCTTTCCTGGGTTTCAAGCTCTAATTTTGAGAGTGTTTTAGATCCTGTTTTTTCTTGGCTGATGTCTACCTTTATAGAGGAGTGCGTCCTATAAGTTCTTGATAAAGGATGCTTGGGATGAAAAAAATTAAGAGTTTGTAAGTCTGAAACACCCAGTTGATGATCAGTGGGGTATAGAATTTTGAGTTGGAAGTAATTTTTCCTTAGGGCTTTGAAGGCATCTCTTCATTCTCTTACAGCTTCTGGTGTTGTTATTGAGAAGTATGGTAACTCTGGATTCCCTTTGTATGACTTGTTTTTCTCATGGATGCTTTTAAAATGTTCTCTTTATCTTTGCTATAAATGCAGTTTTTATAATGATACACTTTGATGTGGGTTTTCTTTTTCTAATTCATTGTGTTTACTTAGTGGGCCTTTTCAGTCTAGGGTGCTCATGTCTTTCTCTTCTGAGAAATGTTATTATTGGGGTACCTGGCTGGACCAGTCAGTATAGCATTCATCTCTTGATCTTGGGGGTCATGAGTTGAGGTCCATGTTGGGCATAGAGTTTGCTTAAAAAAATAATAAAATTAAGATGTTATTATTGTGTATATTCTTATGTTGATAATTCCCTTCCTGTGGTTTTCTCTGTTGTTTTTAATAGTTGGACATTGGATCTTATGTTTTAATCATTATTTTTGTTTTTACTTTTTACATGTCAGATTTTATCGGGCTTTTTGAGGTATTTCCTTGACCCTTGTATTGGATTTTTATTACTTTTTTTTTTAAAGATTTTATTTATTTATTTGACAGAGAGAGACACAGTGAGAGAGGGAACACAAGCTGGGGGAGTGGGAGAGGGAGAAGCAGGCTTCCTGCCCAGCATGGAGCCCAATGTAGGGCTCAATCCCAGGACCCTGGGACCATGACCTGAGCCGAAGGCAGACGCTCAACGACTGAGCCACCCAGGCGCCCCTTTTTATTACTTGTTAAAAAGTATTAAGGACGGGCGCCTGGGTGGCTCAGTTGGTTAAGCGACTGCCTTCGGCTCAGGTCATGATCCTGGAGTCCCGGGTTCGAGTCCCACATCGGGCTCCCTGCTCGGCGGGGAGTCTGCTTCTCCCTCTGACCCTCTTCCCTCTCGTGCTCTCTATCTCTCATTCTCTCTCTCTAATAAATAAATAAAAAAAAAATCTTTAAAAAAAAAAAAAGTATTAAGGACTGTTAAAGTTATCCTCTGCTCCCATCACGGTTTTCTCTGAAGTGTTTTGTTTACTTTTTTTTTTTTTTTTTTAAGATTTTATTTATTTGACAGAGATCACAAGTAGGCAGACAGGCAAGGCAGGCAGAGGGAGAGGGAGAAGAAGGCTCCCTGCTGAGCATGGAGCCCAATGCAAGACTCCATCCCAGGAGTCTGGGATCATGACCTGAGCCAAAGGCAGATGTTTAACCAACTGAGCCACCGAGGCACCCTGTGTTTTTGTTCACTTGTTTTCATCTCTGACTTGTCTGATTTCTGGATTTCTGCTCATGTTAAAGATTAGATTTTAGGGGCACCTGGGTGGCTCAGTAGATTAAGCATCTGCCTTCAGCTCAGGTCATGATCCCAGGGTCCTGGGATTGAGCCCCATGGGGAGCCCTGCTCAGTGGGGAGCCTGCTTCTCTCCTGCACCCCCCTGCCCTATGCACACACTCTCTCTCAAAATCTTTTAAAAAAAGATGAATTTTTTTTTTTTAAAGATTTTATTTATTTATTTGACAGAGACACAGCAAGAGAGGGGACACAAGCAGGGGGAATGGGAGAGGGAGAAGCAGGCTCCCAGAGAGACACAGTGAGAGAGGGAACACAAGCTGGGGGAGTGGGAGAGGGAGAAGCAGGCTTCCTGCCCAGCATGGAGCCCAATGTAGGGCTCAATCCCAGGACCCTGGGATCATGACCTGAGCCGAAGGCAGACGCTTAACGACTGAGCCACCCAGGCACCCCAAAAGATTAGATTTTAATAAACTGAATGTAAGCTCTGTGTGTTTTATATGCAGGGTTTATATGCAGGTATTATTAGCTGGCTTGGTGGACTTCACAGTAGGGCGATCAAATGGCCACTCAGGTTTTTGTTGGGTGAATCCCAGTGTTGGTATCCTTATATTTTACTATTGTGCCAGGCAGTTTCTCATTGAAGGATCATCTGATCTGCCTGGGGAATGTATACCTAGCTCCTGAAATCCCATAGCTCGGCAGGAACGGAGGTTTAAGGTCTCTTACAATTCCTTAAGGCGATCTTCTTATAAACATCCTGTCTTTAGTTCATTACCTTCTTACCATATTTCCTCTCCCAACTCCATCCACTTTTCTCTGTGTCTGGTGCGTTAATTTCCTGAATCATTTTGGGATTCTGCGGGGGCAGTAACATATATTTTACTGTCTTGAAAACCTCAGACATAAACATATACTTGTGCGCACACATGCATAAACACATACTCTTAATCCTTTATGCGTATATTAACATCCTCCAGTTTTTGCACATTTTTTTTTTAAAGATTTTATTTGAGAGAGAGAGAGAGAAACAGCATGATAGGGGAGAGGGTCAGAGGGAGAAGCAGGCTCCTCGATGAGCAGGGAGCCCGATGTGGGACTCGATCCCAGGACTCTGGGATCATGACCTGAGCTCAAGGCAGTTGCTTAACCAGCTGAGCCACCCAGGCACCCCAGTTTTAGCACATTTTTAAACTTTGTTCAGGATGTCTTTTTATCGTGTCTTTTTATCCTTTTTTAAGTCATAGATTAACCTTTTATTTTGTCCAACTTTTTTGCATTGATTTAAAATACTTTATCATATACTAGATTCTCACATGTACATTGATCTGTTTTGTTTTCTTGGAACTGTTTTGTGATCCATTTCTCTGTTACCTGGCCAATGCCATCCTTTTAATTCTATAGCGTCATAATTTCTTTTTTTTTTTTTTAAGATTTTTTTTATTTATTTGAGAGAGAGAGACCTAGCGAGAGAGGGAACACAAGCAGGGGGAGCGGGAGAGGGAGAAGCAGGCTTCCCGCCGAGCAGGGAGCCCAATGCGGGGCTTGATCCCAGGACCCTGGGATCATGACCTGAGCCGAAGGCAGACGTTTAACGACTGAGCCACCCAGGCACCCTAGCTTCCTAATTTCTTTTGATAGCTTTCAGGAAAATGCCCTCTGCATTGTCCTTTTTGTATGTTAGCTGTATGTTAGAATTTGGTTTACCTGTTCCACTCAAAATTTGTTGGAGCTTTGATTGGAATTGTATTAAGGTTGTAGATTAATATAAGTAGTATAGTTTTATACTGTTAAAAATCCCTCTTGATTGCAAGATACTATTTTGAAAATATGTATCTAAAAGTTTTATCCCACTGGGATATCAAATCCAATGATTAAAATTGCTTACAAAAATCTCTTGAGGGCGCCTGGGTGGCTCAGTTGGTTAAGCGACTGCCTTTGGCTCAGGTCATGATCCTGGAGTCCTGGGATCGAGTCCCGCATTGGGCTCCCTGCTCTGCAGGGAGTCTGCTTCTCCCTCTGACCCTACCCCCTCTTGGGCTCTCTCTCTCTCACTCTCTCTCTCTCTCAAATAAATAAATAAAATCTTTAAATAAAAAAAATCTCTTGAAATGAGTCAGGTAGTTTAAAAACACAAGGTGGTGGTGTTTTGTTTTTTTTTTGTTTTTTAGCAATCTGTAATTTTAGAATCAGGAGAGACTTCTGAAAGTTTTAAAATACATGTATACTTCTCATTACCTTACAAGGCAGTTGGGTCCCTTCTTGGAGAATTATTTTGCCAGAAAATTATTCTTTAAATTGAGAAGAAATTTGTCTGTTTTCTGCTATAAATGAATCTATTTGACGAACATTTCAAGTTTCACAAATATTTAAGTGTCTGCATTGTCACTCTTTATATGTTTGTAATGTGTACATTTTTGCATTGTAGTTCTGTATAAGATAAAATTACATAAAAGTACACATATTCCCTTTGTTTCCTTTCTCTTTAAAAGGTAGCTGTTGTACAGGGGTGCCTGGGTGGCTCAGTCCTTAAGCATCTGCCTTTGGCTCGGGTCATGGTCCCAGGGTCCTGGGATCGAGCCCCGCATCGGGCTCCCTGCTCTGCGGGAAGCCTGCTTCTCCCTCTCCCACTTCCCCTGCTTGTGTTCCCGCTCTCGCTGTGTCTCTCTCTGTCAAATAAATAAATAAATCTTTAAAAAAAAAATAAATAAAAGGTAGCTGTTGTACACTTTTTTATTTCTTCTGCCTTTTACTCCCTACTTGTATAGGGAGCAGTTGAATGTAATTTTGAATTTAGCACAATCTTCTGAAATTTAGAAATGTTTTATTTTTATTTTTAATTTTTTAAGATGTACAACTTAATGATTTGATATTTGTATATATTGCAAGGTGCAGAAATAATTTAAAAGTGATTTTATCTTGGAAAGATAACTTAGAGGTAATTTAATTTTTCAGAACTTTCGAGCATGCGGTTCTAGCTGCAGGAACAGATTTCCGATCTGACAGACTGTGGGAAATGTATATAAACTGGGAAAATGAACAGGGAAACCTGAGAGAAGTTACAGCTATATATGATCGTATTCTTGGTATTCCAACACAGCTGTATAGTCACCATTTTCAGAGGTGAGTGAAAAAATCCAATCATTAAAATATTTGATTATTCAGGTAATTAATTAATATTGAGGATTATAATTCTCTTGAAATGTCATGTGAGATTCTTTTAGATGCAAATGAATAAATTTTCTTGCTTGATAATCACAGTTTACACACATTCAAATTTTGACATTTTTCACATACTTTATGAAATGTTTAGGAACTTTACTGTTTTTATTTATTTATTTTTAAAGATTTTATTTATTTATTTGAGAGAGAGAGAGAAATAGTGATGGAGAGCATAAGTAGGGAGGAGGGGGAGAAGCAGGCTCCCCGCTGAGCAGGGAGCCTGACTTGGGACTTGATCCCAGGACGCTGGGATCATGACCTGAGCCGAAGGCAGACGCTAACCGACTGAGCCACCTGGGCGCCCTGGAACTTTACTGTTTTTAAACAGAAGTTTTTCTTTATCCATTTTACAGATGAGGAATAATGGGAATCCTATCTTAGGTATTTCAGAGTGGTGAAAGAATGAGAAAATAGAACCCAAGTTTAATTATTCTTTGTGGTACTTTATATAGAGTACATGGCACATAAATATGCTTATTTAAAACTTAAATGATTTGCTCGGGGCGCCTTGGCTGGCTCTGTCGATGGAGCATGTGACTCTTTTAAGTTCAAGCCCCAAGTTGGGTGTAGAGATTACTTAAAAAAAAAAGAATCTTAAAAACAAAAACTTAGGGCGCCTGGGTGGCTCAGTTGGTTAAGCAACTGCCTTCGGCTCAGGTCATGATCCTGGAGTCCCGGGATCGAGTCCCACATCGCGCTCCCTGCTCAGCAGGGAGTCTGCTTCTCCCTCTGACCCTCTTCCCTCTCGTGCTCTCTATCTCTCATTCTCTCTCTCAAAGAAATAAATAAAATCTTTAAAAAAAACAAAAACAAAAACTTAATGTACATTCTTGTGATTCATATAACACCTTATACCAAAATAGTGAAAGATCTATTTTATGTAGTAAGTCTAAATCTGTTTTTATTCAATCAAAAATAATTTCATTTAAATTTTCCACTATGATTTTCTGTCATGACTGGTATTTCATTTTTATGAGTACTGTTAAAACAACTAATTCTGTATGATGTGAGTTCCACATTTTGTTTTCTGATACACTCAAAATATCCCACTGATAAGGACTCAAAGTCTTTCTGAACAAGAAAGTTTGTTTTACACGTATTTGCTGTGTTGATAAATATTTGCTTTTTTTAGCTACCATATTTGCTACATTTTTGTTACAAATTTTATAAGTAGTACAGTGTTAGAGCCTGTAAACTTAAGTACTTTTTAAGTAAGTGATTTTCCAAACTTTTTTTACTAAAAAAGTAGAAGACTACTAAAAAAGTAGAAGACTTTATGAAGCATCTAAAAAGTTATGTGGATCAATTTGCTAAAGATAGAAGAAGTAATGCAGATCCAGATTAGGAATAGGAATTGTGTAGATGTGAATATACGGTCTCTGTTTTTTATGAAACAGAGGAGATGCTCAGGTTTCTACAGTATAATGACCTAGGAAGACACTTGATAAAAGACATTATTAACACAAAACTTGACATATGGAAATGCTTGATGAATATTTGTTGAATAAATGAATACAAGGGTTTTTAAAAATCCTTATGAGACAAAGAGGAGGCCTTTTCCTAAACCAGTTCTTCTAGGATCAACAGTATAGATAAAATTCTGTGATGATAAGAACTTTATTTTTGGTAAGCAAGATAAACTATAACTAGGAAACACTTGTTACATGGCATTTGCTGTATGCCAGATGCTGTTCTGAATGCTTATTTATAACTTAAAGCATTATAACTTAAGCGTGTAACTTACAGCATTTATAACTTATTTAATCCTCACAATAAGCCAGTGAGGTATCTTATTATCCCCATTTTATGGGGATATTACTATCTTCCTTCTATGGAAGTAGAAGCACAGAAAGATTAAAACATTTGCATGAGGTCGCAGAGTGAGTTAGTGTTTAGAAGCTTATTGGAACCCAGACGGTGTGGCTCCAAAGTTCTTGGTATAGTCTCCTCCAAATCTTTTTTGTTGTTAAATGAATATCCCAGGTGCCTGGGTGGCTCGTTAAGTGTCTGCCTCCGGCTCAGGTCATGATCTCAGGGTCCTGGGATTGAACCCCACCTTGGGCTCCCTGCTCATCAGGGAGCCTGCTTCTCCTTCTGTCCCCCATCCCCACTCGTGCTCTCTCTCTCTCAAATAAATCTTTAAAAAAAAAAAAAAAAATCCCAGTAGGGTTTTAAAATTGTATATAGGCTTATAATAGACATTATTAGTGAATTGCATTACACATACTGCTCTTTAATCTCCTCTTTTATTTTTTTAAGATTTATTTATTAGAGCGGCGCCTGGGTGGCTCAGATGGTTAAGCGTCTGCCTTTGGCTCAGGTGGTGATTCCAGGGCCCTGGAATCGAGCCCCGTGTCCGGCTCCCTGCACAGCGGGGAGTCTGCTTCTCCCTCTCCCTTCTGCTCCCCTTGCTTGTGCTCTCTTGCTCTCTCTCTCAAATGAATAAATCTTAAAAAAAAAAAAAAGATTTATTTATTAGAGAGAGAGGGAGAGGGGGAGAGAGAATCTCAAGTAGACTCTGTGCTGAACGCGGGAGCCTGATACAGGGCTTGATCTCATGATCGTAAGATCATGACCTGAGCCAAAATCAAGAGGCAGATGCTTAACCGACTGAACCACCCAGGCACCCCTAATCTGTTCTTTTTCTTTTAATATATTGACAACCACTTTCCTTATCTATGTATGTAGCAAACTCACAAGTCGTGTTTGTGTAAGTAAATCTTATGACATTACTAACTGCTTTGAGAACCAGTGAAATGTTTTCTTTTGCCTAATACACTCCTACTTGGTCATTTAGTGCTTGCTATATAAAAGATTATATACCATTTAAGTTATAGAAATTAAGGCTCAGACAAGCTGTGTGTGAATGGTGTTGGCTCTCAAGCTGGTCAGAAGTATAGAGGAGGAAGCATGTTTAAAACAAAAGTGTTTAGGGGCATCTGGGTGGCTCAATCAGTTGAGCGTCAGACTCTTTTATTTCAGCTCTGGTGGGGGCCTCAGGGTCCTGGGATCAAGACTCAGGTCCTGCTCTGTGTGTACAGTGGTGAGTCTGCTTGGGATTCTCTCTCCCCCTCCACCACTTTGTGCACAGGTGCACTCCCCCCACCTCCAGCTCAAATAAATAAATAAATCTTAAAAGTGTTCAAGTGCTGGGTAATAGGGTTAGCCTGGTGATGGGTATTAAGGAGGGCATGTACTGAATGGAGCACTGGGTGTTATACGCAACAATGAATCTTGGAACACTACATCAAAAACTAATGATGTAAATAATGCAATATATGTTAAGAAAAAAAAAAGCAGGAGAGGAAGAATGAAGGGGGGAAAATCGGAGGGGGAGACGAACCATGAGAGACTATGGACTCTGAAAAACAAACTGAGGGTTCGAGGGTTCTAGAGGGAAGGGGGTGGGGGGATGGGTTAGCCTGGTGATGGGTATTAAAGAGGGCACATTCTGCGTGGAGCACAGGATGTTATGCACAAACAATGAATCATGGAACACTACATCAAAAACTAATGATGTAATGTATGGTGATTAACATAACAATAAAAATGTAAAAAACTAATGATGTATGGTGATTAATATAACATAATAAAAAAATAAATAAATCAGTCCCCCCCCCAAAATATTTCTGTTGTGTAGGTCTGTATATTAGATGTATACTGATGAAATTCTCTCTACGGAAATATGTAATTTAAAATTTTCTTTAGCATGAGAGTTTGTGATGTTGATTTAACTTCTCAGACCCGATCCCTGGTAGTTGCTAAGCTCCAGACCTATCTAAATACTGATAATTTCCCAGCAGACACTGTTGTTTTGTACTTCTGTGACTGTAATACCTTTTCCACTTCCCATTTGTCTGGTTAACTCAGATTACTCAAAACCATACAGCTTAATGTTTTCTGTGTGAAACTTTAGTTTGCCAAAATAGAAAGTATTTGTTCTGTCATTTGTGCCCGCACTCTATTTATTTACAGTTGTCTTTTTTTAAATTTTTATTTATTTATTTATTTTTAAAGATTTTATTTATTTGTTTGACAGAGATAGAGAGCACAAGTAGGCAGAGCGGCAGGGAGAGGGAGAAGCAGGCTCTCTGCTGAGCAGGGGGCCTGATGCGGGGCTCGATCCCAGGACCCTGGGATCATGACCTGAGCCGAAGGCAGGTGCTTAACCGACTGAGCCACCCAGGCGCCCCTACGTTTTGTCTTTTTTAAAAAATGTTTTTATTTTATTTATTTTAGGGAGGATGGGCAGAGGGAGAGAGAAACTTTAGTAGACTCCACGCTGAGCATGGAGCCCAACACAGGTCTCGACATGGGGCTCCATCCCTCGATCCCGAAATCATGACCTGAGCTGAAACCCAGGGTCAGAGCCTTAACCAACTGTGCCACCCATGTGCTCCTACTTACACTTATTTTAACATTAATAACACTGCTTTGAAATTGTGTCTCGTATTATCGCTCTGCACATCTGTCATTTTCTGAGACTTATTCTTTTTATCCTTAATACATAGGAATAAGGCTCAATATAAGACACTCAGCCATTCTTTACTGAATAAATCAGCTTTATAGTTGGAAAGGTTGATGAAAATTCACTGCTTAGTAGTTATATTTTATCACCATTTGGAACAATTTCCTGTATAATATAGCAATTATTTTAAATTTGTGCTCTTTAGTCGTCAATTTAAGTTTATTTGTAGCCTAACAATTTTGAGTTTTAATATTTATCTGAACACTAAATCTATACATTTTCTTTTTTTTAAGATTTGATTTATTTGACAGAGAGAGGGAGAGAGAGCACAAGCAGGGGGAGCTCCAGAGCCAGAGGGAGAAGCAGGCTCCCTGTTGAGCAGGGAGCCCGACGTGGGGCTCTATCCTGGGACCCTGGGATCATGACCTGAGCTGAAGGCAGCTGCTTAACTGACTAGGCCACCCAGGCCACCCTAAATCTGTTTGTTTCCTTACTAACTTTTGAAAGTTATTTCCTTTCTAATTTTTTTTTTAATAAGGCAGTCTGTATTTGTTCTCTCCCAATGGTGAAATGGATCAAGTTAAACTTCAGTATTTATTACTAATTCTGTAAAATCTAGATTTGTTTCCCATTTTATTTACATATATTAGTGAAAGCCTTAAAATCCATAAAAATTCAGGTGTGAATTGCCTAAGTCAGTTTTAAGAAACTTGGGGAAAAGTCCATAAGATTGGAGCATAAGGTACATGTCCAACTATGTCTCATAATTAGAATGAAGAGGTCAGTCTGGGTTAGAAGATGAAAGACTTTAAGGTGATTGGATTTTAGCCTGAATGCAGGGTAAATGAAAAGTTATTTTGGCAGGAGGCAGTCATGATCATGTTTATGTTTTTCATGTTTACTTTTTAATAACATTTTTGATAGCAGTATTAGGGTTGAGATGGGAATAGTGAGACTAGTGGCTAGAAGCCATTTATGTTTATCCAGGTGAAAAATGAGAAGGACATGAAGACATATTTAGAAGGTAGAATCAATAGGACCTGATACTCAGTGGAATGTAAGTGAAGTGAGGTCAAAGAGATTTAGAAACTGAGTGATTGACAGTACCATTAATCAAGATTAGAAATGCTGAGGGTGTTGATTCGTGGATGAAGATAATTAAGATGGTTGTACATAAGGTTCCAAATTTAGATAGTGTAGCTATTTTAGCTCTTCAACTTGGTGTTTTTGATGAAAATTTGCATATATATATATAAATTAGTGTGTGGAAAAATGAAATTACTTTTTTCAAAACACTCAAAATTAACCTATTTCTTTGTGCAGAGTTTTGGCAATTGGACAGACTGATCTAGAATTGAGAAAAGTATGGGCTTGAGTTAAAGTTTTCCGAGTCACCATAGTATGCTTATTTCTCTATTAATAAGATTGGCCAGGAAGTTAATGAAGATAGATGAGAACAAAATGTCAAATGGAATCCTTGGCAATCCTGACATTCAGGGACCAATAGGAAGGGAGAATCCTCAAAGATCAAGGATCAGTCAGAGACTTGGAGGCAAAGAAAGAAAGTGGTAACCCAGTGCCTTCTGAAAGGAAAGCATGGTTAAAGGCCTTTAGTAGTGAAGACATTATTAGAGTATAACCTGTACTATGAAACAAGTGTCCATTTAATTTTGCATGTAAGAGGCACTTGGTGACTTTAATTAGGGCAATTTCATTGGTGTGTTTGGCACGGACACAGAATCAGGAGTAAGTGGGAGGTGGGGAAAAAACGGCAAACATTTGTTGATCATTTACAAATGATCATTTATAATTTAAGTAGGGATTATATTTTAAAGTAATTTTGCATAAATAAATACATTTTGCAAAATAGTATTGTGCCATTTTACATATGAGAAAGCCAAGACTTAAAGAAGGGAAAAACTGGGATGCTTGGGTGGCCCGGTCAGTTAAGCTCTTGCCTTTGGCTCAGGTCATGATCCTGGGGTTTTGGGATCAAGCCCCATGTCAGGCTCCCTGCTTCTCTCCCTCTGCCCCTCCCCCCACTCGTCCAAGTCCTCGTCCACGTGTGCTTGCTTTCTCTCTCTCTCAAATAAATCTTAAAAAAAAAAAGAAAAACTTCTCCGAAGTCAAATAACTAATAATGGACAGAGTTAGGATTTGAATGTATGCCTATCCATGCCTTCTCTGTTATATTGCAGAGGCATAAAAGAAATGAAGATGTCTGTAGACTGTTTCATCAAATGGTAGGTTTTTACTATAAAAAAGGATAGAAAGGGTTTGGTGTTTTAAATCAAATTTTTTGAAAGGGTACTGTGTAGTAGGAATTGAATGTGGGATCTAAAATTATGCTTCATATATAGAGAATTTATTTTTATTGGCTTATTTAGATTTAAAGAACATGTACAGAATAACTTGCCTAGAGATCTGCTAACTGGTGAACAGTTTATTCAGCTGCGAAGGGAATTAGCTTCTGTAAACGGACATAGTGGTGATGATGGTCCTCCTGGTGATGATCTACCGTCAGGAATTGAAGACATTACTGATCCAGCAAAGGTAACCAGACTTAACTGAAAAATCCTTCAGTGCATGAGAAACTAGACTTTATATCCCTTGACTTCATGTGTTGTATGACTTGTGTCTCATATAAAATTAACTTCTAATTAAGGCAAGTGGGACTTCTTTAGCTATGGTGTGGTTAAAAAGAGAGTTAAGGTAGAGAATCTATTTTACTATGAGACACCTGGAAATAGCTTAGAAGGGACATTTTGCCCATGTGGTAATCTACTAGTCCCCTTTAAATGTACACAAGAAAGTGGTTTATTAGGAAGTTCTGTTAGAAATTTTAGAATTGTTAATTGTACTTTCCATATAATTGTTAACAGCTTAAAACCTACCACTATTCTCAGATTATAAAGTAGGTATAGATAAGACCTAAATTTAAGCAGTATTAAAAATTTCAGTATATAACTTACGTGATTTAAATTTTTTCTTTTTCTTCCCAAGCTAATTACGGAAATAGAAAACATGAGACATAGAATCATTGAAATTCATCAAGAAATGTTTAATTATAATGAGCATGAAGTTAGTAAAAGGTGGACATTTGAAGAAGGTGTAAGTGTTTTTGTTTTGTAATAGGCTTCAAAATATAAAGATAGGAATAATGTATTTTTCTTTGTTTTGAGTAATGTCTCTCTACTTTTTATTTTTGCTTATTTAAATACTATTACCAGTTTCCCATGATCAGTTTTATCATTTTCCATTATCAATTTTAGAATCTTATAAAATGAATTCAGATTTACTCCAGTTGGAAGATACTTATTTAATCTGAACCATTTTATTACAGTTCAATTTTTTAAATCATCTTATTTGAGTGCATACTTTACATACAACAGAATGCACCCATTTTAGATGTGTAGTAAAATGAGGGTTTCCCTCCACAGATTCTAATTCTTTATTTCTGTTTTTCTAAACAGCTTTTTTGAGATACAGTTCACTTACCCTATAGTTCATCCATTTAAAGTATATAATTCAGTAGTTTTTGGTGTGTTCACAGATAGGTACAGCCATCATTCTGGTCCATTTTAGAACATTTTCATCACCTCACAAAGAAATTCTTTATCCTTTAGCTGTCACCCCTCTACTCCCTCACCTATCTGCTCCACCCCTTACCCTCAGCACTTAGGTACTACTGATCTACTTCTGTTTCTATAGATTTGTTCTGACCTTTCATTTGAGTGGAATCATATAGTATGTGGTTTTTTTGTTGACTGGCTATAAGGTTTGACATGTATATGCACATTACAGTGCTCCATGGCAATCAGATATGGAACTAGTCTGTCATCCCAGAAAGTTCCCTTGGTCCCTTTTCATTCAGTAACCCCCATCCCATTCCTAGCCCTAGGCAACTGCTGATCTGCTTTCTGTTATATGTATAATTGTTCAGTTTTAAAATACTCAATAAAGAAAAACATTTACTGAACATAAAGAAAATTGTGTACTGCCATTACAATTAATAAATAAATGAAAGATACATTCTGCTTCTTCCGTTTGTAAAGCCTAAGAAATACAATTTTAAAAGTTTTTATCATGAAATACGGTGATTAAAATTTCTTTGGTTCACCATTATTAATTACATACATAATTTAGATAATTCGTATTGTTACTATAGTCATGCATTTTCTGGTGTTGGTATTGGTTTACTTTCATTCCTCTGTTACACTGTTTTTCCTGTCATACTTTTATTACAGATTAAAAGACCTTATTTTCATGTGAAACCATTGGAAAAGGCACAACTAAAAAACTGGAAAGAATACTTAGAATTTGAAATTGAAAATGGGACTCATGAACGAGTTGTGGTTCTCTTTGAAAGATGTGTCATATCATGTGCCCTCTATGAGGAGTTTTGGATTAAGGTAAGAAAATTAGATGCTCTGAAACTTGAACATATTATAAACATTGATCTAGTGACTAACCTTTTTTGTACTTCTGTTGAATGTTGTTCATATAACTATATCTGTTGCATTAGGAGATGGTCTGCTTGCAACCAGATTTGACTGCTGCATATGCCAACCTCGTTGCCTCTCTTCGTCCTTCCTTACAGAAACTAGTCTAGTGGTTCAATAAAGGTGCTGAATGGGTTTAAAAATAGAATTTTATCGTTCTGTCACATATTTAATGGCTCGTTCAACTGTAAATTATTCAGTATTTCCTTTGTTTCTGTATGTAGTATGCCAAGTACATGGAAAACCATAGCATTGAAGGAGTGAGGCATGTCTTCAGCAGAGCTTGCACTATTCATCTTCCAAAGAAACCCATGGTGCATATGCTTTGGGCAGCTTTTGAGGAACAGCAGGGTAAGAATGAGGAAATTCAGTTGGTATTTTTGGGATTTTAAGGAACTTCTGGATAAAGTTCTAGGAATTGAGTCTGAGGGATGGTGTAAAGCAGAGGTCAATAAACTTTTTCTATAAAGGGCCAGATGGTAAATATTTTAGGCTTTTCAGGCTTATGGTCTTTCTCCTGACAACTCTACCATTATAGCCCAGAAGCATCTGTAGATAATAAACAAATGAGCATGGCTGTTTTCAGTTTTAAATAAAAAAAAAACAGGCAGAGGGCTGGATTTAGCCTGTGGACTGTTATTTGCCAGTACCTTGCATAAAGGATATTTCAGAAGTTTAAACAAAAGCATAAACATTTAATTAACATTTCTAGGTAATATTAATGAAGCCAGGAATATCTTGAGAACATTTGAAGAATGTGTTCTAGGATTGGCAATGGTTCGTTTGAGAAGAGTAAGTTTAGAACGACGGCACGGAAATATGGAAGAAGCTGAACATTTGCTTCAGGATGCCATTAAGAATGCCAAATCAAATAATGAATCATCGTTTTATGCTATCAAACTAGCCCGGCATCTTTTCAAAATACAAAAAAACCTTCCAAAATCAAGAAAGGTGCTTTTGGAAGCAATCGAAAGAGACAAAGTATGTATTTGTATTTTAGAATATCTTTCATAAAAAAACAAAAGCAAAAAAAACAACAAAAGAACAGTGGTCGTTGTTTGTTTTCTTATTTTGGCAACTATGATGAAAGATTTGGTCTGTATGTAATATATTTTATTACTAAATGAAGACAACAGTCCCTCTAAACTGATGTTGCCATTCTTTAAAAATTTTTCAAATTATTAGGAATTAAAAGGTTGAGAAAATTAAATTATTGGATTAAAAATTGTTGCAGACATTGTGACACTTTGTTTCTCTCGTGTTTAGAAATTTTACAGCAGATTTACTGAGTAGCGGACTTGGGAGACTATCTTATAAACAAAAGCATAGCAGTAGTCTGCATCTTAGCAACTATAACAGTGAGATTCTCCTTTTTGAAAGTATTTCACTTTATCAGTTGATAAAAGGCAGTGTATATGATATTTCTCACTTTTTAGATTTTCAGCTAATACCAGGTCTGTTTAAGACACAGGTCTATAACAGTGTGTTTCCAGCTGCAGTTTAAGATGATAACAGTATTAATGGGAACTGTAGAAACCATTTTTTGTCTTATTTTATATTTGTCATGGTTGGTCAAGCCACATCAAACCCAAGATAGGATATAGGGTTTAAACTTACTGGGATTTAACAGTTTGCATAATTTGGGAGATGCTAGGTCATTACTTCTCAGTGTGCTAATTAGTTTTTTCACCTGTTTTGATATATGCTCAAAACATTAACCTGAGTTACATTTTAATACGATTTTCAGTATTTTTCAAACTTAGACATAAAATTTAAGGTGTTTTAAATATCTGTGTTCTTATAAAAATATCTTAGAAATATTATTAATTGATACTGCTTTTTACACAGGAGAATACAAAGTTATACCTCAATTTACTTGAAATGGAATATAGTGGTGACCTCAAACAAAATGAAGAAAATATCCTAAATTGTTTTGACAAAGCTATACATGGTTCATTACCTATTAAAATGAGAATTACATTTTCTCAGAGAAAAGTGGAATTTCTTGAAGATTTTGGTTCAGATGTTAATAAGTAAGATCTTAATTATATATTATCTATTTGCATAGTAAATGAGCATTGATAATTTGGGGAGTTTGATGATTAGTACAAATTAATATATTGTTAAATTTAAAATGTTTGCCTAGGTTACTTTTTCCTCATATATATGGAGGGTAAATTCAGTTTTGCAAATGTGTATGTGTTTAACAGGAGGATAGATGGTTTGTCTTTCCTTCAAAATTGTTTTCGAAATTTTAGCATGGTAATGTAAACAATGAGAGAAGGCAGCAAACAGCAATCCCATGAAAAAAGAAGTGGGTCAAGGATTGAACCCTAAAACACAGAAACAGTATAGAGCCCACTAAAGGGGGATGGGCTTAATCTGAAATAGGGATGCTGTTTTCTCTCTGGAGAAAATGGATATGGTTGCACAGAGCATGCCTAATGGATTCAATTTAATGCATTGTAAGAAGCTGGAAGTTGAGGGTGGTGGAAGGATTTACTGTAAGGGATTTGGGAAAAGGAGAAGCTTATGATTTATAGTTGCAAAATAGAAGAGTAGAAGTATTGATTCGAGTATTGCTGCTGTGGCAGTCTTAACTGCTTCTAGTAGGGAACTATCCCACTTAGTAGGCATGTCCCTTTTCTAATTACCCTAATTTAGAGTGATTTCTATTGAAACAGCTGTTGATAAAATGAGGATTTATGTGTCTTTATATATGCATGTATACATTTTTGATGGTTGAGTAAAATTTTAGCTAAACTAAAAAACATTTTAACATAAGTTAATTTTTAATACAATTGTATATATGTGCTGGACACATTAAATGTTTTATGCATTAGCTAATGAAGGTATAAGTACTGTTTTTTTGTTGTTGTTGGTACTGTTGTTTTAATAGATGAAGAGAGGCTTAAAGAGATTAGAAATTTTTCCAAGGTCAGTTAGCTGCTATTTCATTGTGCAACTGGGATTAGAACTTGCTTCAAAGTCTGTGCTTCTAACCACCTGTGCTGTATATTTAGTGTCTTCTGTTTATTTTGTACTGAAGAAAGTGCACAAAAAGAAATGGGATATTTAATTCCAGGTTTTAGTCTAGTGGATGGTTTGATGATCAGAGGAAATATGTAAGTATATGAGGTGGCACAAAACTGTTAAAGGTGACTGTGATTTCTGTGGATCAGAATGGATTTGTCATCCTTCACAGAGGAGATGGGGCTTCATTTAGGTACTACTGGATTCTGACAAGGAGAGGATAAAATGGAAGAAAGTTAAAGTTCATTTAAAAGTAACATTTGCTTGATTGGAGGGCTTTTGAAGTAGTAGAAGTGTGATGTTGATTGTGCTGTGTATTGAACAGTAGGCTGGGTTAGAGCACACGTAGTACCACAAATAGACAGTAGGACGCTATTAGAGTTTTGACTGGGATTAAATGACATATTTGAATTTTGCAATAATATGTGGACAAATCTAAGGCTTAACACAAAGATGCCAGTTAGGCCCTTGCAAATATAGTTATTGAGGGTCTGTATATCAGGTCTAAGATTGTTGTTAAAATTTAAAAAGGCAGTGATTGAAAAATGAGCTTAGAAATTTAGGTAGCGGTATAATGTATTAGTAAGAATTGATGTTTAATTCAAATATATGCTTAAATCTTAGCTGTGTCACTTACCATGTGTATTTCTCAGTTTTCAGATTTTCTTGTTATGATTCAATCTCTCTTATCACTTAATCTACAGGTTGTTAAAAGTCTTAAAAAAACCTAGTCCATTTAAAGTGCTTGATACTGAGTAAACACTCAACCAGAGATTGCTGGTATTAACAATTTTATAGCTTCTTGAACATTTTGGGATCAGAGTTACTGGTTGTTACCATTAGATGTCTATATATGCAGGCTGCCCAGGGAAGTTGTGTATGCGTGTAAAGTATATTAAGGTCATTTCTACAGAAATGTTAATTATCTGTGTTCAGGTTTATGATTACTTTAAAAAATAAGGCCATTTGTCTTTATAAAAAATATTTCAGAAAATGGTAAAAGGAAAACAAAATCTTTAGGATTTTACAGTCAGTTTGGCTTGAAGTGACATCGTTTTTGAAGTTCTGAGTTCCAGGTGAGACTTAAAATACACGTATCATGTTAGAAGTTTTTTATTTATTAAAAATTATCTTTTTTTTAAGAAAAAGGATTTATTTGAGAGCACGCACATGTGCGGGGGTGGGGTAGAGGCAGAGGGAGAGAGTCTTAAGCAGACTCTGTGCTTAGTGCACAGCCCAACACGGGGCGTGCTCTCACGACCCAGAGAGCATGACCTGAGCTGAAACCAAGAATCAGATGCTTAACCAACTGTGCCACGCAGGCGCCTCCTAAAAAATTATCTTTTTAATTAGTGATAACAATTCCACGTTGTAGATTTGAATTAGTTTTTTTTTTTTTTTTAAGATTTATTTGAGACAGAGTGCAGAGCGAGAGAGAAGAGAGCACGAGTCGGGGGGTACTGTTGGGAGGGGGCAGGAGGAGAGGGAGAAGCAGGCTCCCCACTGAGCAGGGAGCTCAATGCGGGGCTCAGTCCCAGGATGCTGGGATCATGACCTGAGCCGAAGGCAGACACTTAACCGGCTGAGCCATCCAGGCGCCCCTGTAGTTTTCTATTAAGTTTTAATTCAGTTTATCACATGGCCAAAGTTTAAATATACTTTATCCTAACTGGCGTCCAGTATCTTTAATAAGCAATGTTAAATTAGATCTCAAAGTATATAAATTATGGAATGGTCAGGACTCACTCTGCACTGGACAGAAATGCTCAAGGTCACTGTCTTAGTTGTGTAAAAATTTCTTAGGCGGGGGTGCCTGGGTGGCTCAGTTGGTTGAGCGACTGCCTTCGGCTCAGGTCATGATCCTGGAGCCCCGGGATCAAGTCCCGCATCGGGCTCCCTCCTCAGCAGGGAGTCTGCTTCTCCCTCTGACCCTCTTCCCTCTCGTGCTATCTCTCACTCTCTCTCACAAATAAATAAAATCTTTAAAAAAAAAAATTTTTTTAGGCGGGCTCTCCCGTGTGTTAGAAATAACCAAAGGTAGCTCTTGACCAATATCCCATCACCTTTAGCCAACTGTAGTACAGAGAACAAGCATTTTTCTTTTTTTTTTTAAAGCTTTTTATTTATTGAGAAAGAGAATGGTAGAGACAGAGCATGAGAGGGAAGAAGGTCAGAGGGAGAAGGAGACTCCCTGCTGAGCAGGGAACCCAATGTGGGACTCGATCCCAGGACTCCAGGATCATGACCTGAGCCGAAGGCAGTCGCTTAACCAACTGAGCCACCCAGGCACCCAAGCATTTTTCTAGTAGCTCAAAAATCCCAGGACTTACTAAATGTCTTGGTTTGGGTCTTATTATTGGTCAGGGCTATATAGTACTGTAATTGGCCAGTCCTGAATTCCTGAAGCCCCATTTGAATCACATGGGCTGAGAAGGAAAGTGCAGAGTAGTGCTTTCCCAAAGGAAATATATTGGAAAAGGTAGCTGGGAGGTTTGCTTATTGGTTCATTAAAAAATAATAATAATAAAAAATCAGTGGATATTCACTGCAACATATTTTTGTTTCCAAGTGGAAATAAGTCCAAAACTTTATAAATTTATCAGTTTGGTTTTTGTATATTCCAGAGGATTTTTTTTTTCCTTCCCTCTCAGGCTTTTGAATGCTTATGATGAACATCAAACACTCCTAAAAGAACAGGATTCCTTAAAAAGGAAAGCAGAAAATGGGTATGTAACTCCTTGCTGAATCAGGAAGGGATGCTTAAAAGAAGACATTTCATTGTGGAAATGCCTTTCAAGATAAATATTTTTACATGTTACCTTCATGTTGTGATAATTTAGTACTTTATATTCAGGATTTGAAAAAATCATACAAAACTGAGTGGTTAAAAACTTTACTAAAACAAATATACATAGGACAAATGTATACACATTCATCCATTTGTTTTAAAAGTACTTACCTGTGGGAGTTTTGAAAGTTTCTGTTTTGTCCTTTTTAGATCAGAAGAACCAGAGGAAAAGAAAGCTCACACAGAAGATACAACTTCATCATCTACACAGATGATTGATGGTGATTTACAGGCAAATCAAGCTGCATATAATTATAGTGCCTGGTATCAAGTGAGTTCACATAATTGAATTTTTTGTTCATAGATGTTAATTAGAAAAGCATAAGTTAGGATAGTTTTTTTAACAACTACTTCTACTCCAGACTGTACAATAAATTGTCTTATGTGGTTAAGTCTTAGAATTTTAGCAGTGAACACATGCCTGTTTTCTTAAATGTATCTGCTTTTATAAATGGAACCAGCCAGTTCTAGTATGCTAACATGTGTGCTTTTTCCTTTCAGTACAATTATCAGAATCCTTGGAATTATGGACAGTATTACCCTCCCCCTCCAACCTGATGAGAAAATGTATCAGATGGAATGTGTGAAAAATACGAAATTATTTTTTTTTAATGAGGGATGTAAACATAGCGTAAACTTGTTGTATTTGATAATTTGTTTTCCTGTTTCTGTGTAACATGATTTGTTTAGTAATAGGGGAAAATGTCACTTAGTAGCTTACCACAGATACTATTTCCTACCATTTATAAAATTTACTTTTTATTGGAGAACTATTTTTTTGATTTTTGCATTAAGTGGTCTAGAATTCTTTTGCAGTGCATTTGCAACAGAGTTTTGTAGCCTTAAGGGGTAGGAAAAAAAAACTGACTGCAAATCATGTCAGTGTAGTACAAGATCTGAAAATACATAAGGGCTGGTTATTAAGGATTTACCTCTGTAAAAAAAATGGATTTTTAACCTTTGATGACAAGGTTTTGTCGTTTCAGTTATCCTTGTGAATTTGGGTTTAACTGCAGAAAAGATATACTATTAAACACTATGTCTTGGGATAGAGATTATAAATGAAAAAAATGAAATGTTTGCATCCCTTTTAAAAAATGAAAATCATATCAAAAGTATGTTGTTTCAGGAGACTTTGTATTTAGAATATTCATGTAAAACTTGTGAGCAAGCTTTCATTTTGATCAAACTGATCATCATTTTTGTAATAAAACTGAAGAAGACTCCTCTACAAATTGTTACGAATTTATTGGGGGGTGGATCACCTCACAGTATTAACTTTTATTCATCATTATTAGTGGTTCATTGGTTTTGAAGTATACTTTTCTTGAATTTAGTTATTATCTTCTTGCCAGAATTAGACCATTTAGCTTTTTGCTTCCTCCGTTTCTGTCCTCATTTTCACTATACAGGAGTATTTATTTAAAGATTTTTTAAGAGGAGGGGCACCTGGGTGGCTCAGTTGAGTGTCCAACTCTTGGTTTCAACTCAGGTCATGACCTCAGGGTTGAGATTGAGCCCCATGTGGGGCTCAGTGGGAAGTAAGCTTGAGATTCTCTTCCTCTCTGCTCCTCACTCTCCCTCAGGTCGTGCGCATGCACTCTTTCTAAAATAAAAACCTTAAAAAAAAATTCTTAAAAGATCTTTTAAAAAAGAGTAAAGATTTTAAGAGGAGTACCCCTGGCAAAGCTGTCTAGACAATTTTACTGTAACTCCCTGTTCTGATTAAAGCCTTAGCTCTGGTTAACCTAATCAGAACATTTATATATCAACACCAAAGAAATCAAGACACTGAATATGTTTTTATTGAGCCTTTTAGTTTACAACATGAGGTAAAAGGAAAGTCATTTCTCCTTAACCAATATTTTACACAGCTGTAGTAAAACATTTCGAACTTTAGGGAATTATAATGGATTACATATATTAAAAGTTGGGGATTGGGTAAACAATATCGGGAGTTCTTGAATTTTCCAGTTGACTCTTCCCTTACAATAGTAACCAGCTCTAATTAGTTACGTTTCTTCAAGGCCATGTTTTATTGTTGCTGATGTCTTTATATCCGAAGCATTGCTATTTCAGTCAATATCCACTAACTCCACTTCAAAAATGAGTTTTGCATTTGGTGGAATTCTGTTGAAGGAGTCAAGGTAAATTCGATAAAAATTGTTTCTTCCTTCACTCCCAATAACCTCAGTCTAAAATTGAACTATATATAATGGATATTGGGTATTAACCCCAAAGGGAAGGACTTTGACTGATTGAGGCGCTAATACATACTAGCCTAGTGGTTCCTAAAAGTATCTTTGTGAATGGTGATCATAACCTATCGGTATAGGCTGACTAGATAGGTTGAGCTTGGACTAGGATCTTCCTTTCTTGGATGCCTCCTAGTACTCCCAATTTAACCACCACCTAATGAAGATTGCTGCTCCGTGCTTTAAAAAAAAAAAAAAGTGATTTCAATCTAGTTGGGTGTGAAAGTTATATTAAATCAAAGTTCATTATGAGGTAGTCCCTGATATCTGCTATGAATTTTAAGATGCTCAGTTCAGAGAACTGTGATTTTTATCTGGATCTGAGATGCTTCACATGAGAGAGGGGGAGCTGTAGTTGGGCCATCTAGTTTTGATAGGCTTAGAGGAGGACTATTATATTCCTAAATAACTGATAAGATTGGAGAGGACTTCCAAATTTTTTAAGTTACTTTAACTGACCCAATTAGTCCAATGGGAATGGAACCAACAACAGAAAAAACTACCTTCTCACTTAGTTATGGGATTGTTCTGGTCAACATGGTCAGGAGGCACGGCTTTTTAATTTTCACAAACCAGGCCTATCAGAAAAGTATTGTCAGTAGTAGTAATCACACATGCTTACACGTTGTTGGACCCGTGGTCTCCTTAATTTCATAACTGGTAATCCCCAACATGTGTTCCATTTCTAAGCTCTGAGTACCCATTTACTTGCCTGAAATTATACTGTAGCATAAAATTACCATGAGCCATACTTGCATCCTATAATTTGCTTTGTTTGTACTGGACATCTTAACTCCTTGAAGTACATCCTTCATACAGTAACAATTGCCTTTCAAAGATGAAAACTTAAAACCTCATTGTTTACCTCTTAAAAATAAAAAGCTTGAGTTCCAGAAGAAAAAAGGTAGATTCTATTCTAGCTCAAGTTCGCACACTTTGTATCAATAAAAAATATTAACTACTGTCTATATTGGAGGTGTTGACACAGAAGCATCTAAATATCAGGAATACTAATCTAGACATGATTCCTGATCTGGAAGTTAACCTAGACAGTATCTTTTATACATTCAGGTGGTCTTTCTTCATGTTTTTTCTTTACTCACAAAGGAAAAAAGGATACTTGGCATCAGGCTGTCCTTTCTTTCCATAAGCCCATTCTGGTTCAATCTCTAGTCGAGCCTTTTCTCCTTTACTCATAGTTAAGAGTGCTTCATC